GATCCAGGGACTCCAGGATCATGACCTGAGCCGAAGGCAGTCGCTTAACCAACTGAGCCACCCAGGCGCCCGAAACCCACATTTCTTACGGGCAGAAGTTTTACTTCTCTGAAGCCCCGATCACACATTAGGTCCTGCTTCCTGATGACACACTGGCCACCGCACAATTAGCCTTCACGTATTTGAAGTCACGAAATGCAGCATCCTGGCCCTGGTGGGCACGCAGGAAACAATTCTCGGTTATCTCCCGGGGTGGATTCTCCCCGCCAACTGACCCGGCACACGCGAGCTCAGGGAGCCCCATGTCTCTGTTTTTCAAACTGAAAAGCTTGAGAGTTCATCCATCAGTCGGCTTACGTGAAAAGTGAATCTTCCTCCTCCCCATCCTCCAACCACCGTCTCCTTCCCGAAAGCAATGATGTTCTTCCGGGGTCACGAATCCTTTCAGATACATTCTTTGCATCCGCCCACACCAGTGCTCATACAGCTCAGCTGTAGAGGCAGGGCGGTGTGACATCCCGACGCTGCCCGCAGCCTCCACCCCGTCCCCCGCACGCACAGACGCAAGGCGGCCATTGGGTGGTAGGCAGGTAGGCGCGCTAACGCGATGTCACCCACTCAGGACGAGGCCTGCCTGTGTGCTTTCAGCCGTTCACACCCGAATTGAGAAAGGACATTGATCAGTACCAGGTCTGTTGGTTTGCTCAGGTGGAAAGCCAGGTTGAGCTGCTTGCCTTGGTAACAGCAGCGACCATTCGTCTGGTCCTCGCTGCCTCACTGCATGCTGGGCAACTCGGGTGGCTCACCCCGTGCGCGGGTTTTAACACGTGCGGACCAGTGGACTTCTGTCTCTATAGTCGCTTGCATGCTGTGTTGACTGTTTCTTCTTTCTGTGTAGCTTTGGTGTGAAGCTTATGGACTTCCAGGCCCACCGGCGGGGTGGCACTCTAACTAGAAAGCACATATCCCCGGCTTTCCAGCCGCCACTCCCGCCCACAGATGGCAGCACCTTGGCTCCTGCAGGCCCAGAGCCCCCTCCCCTGAGCTCTAGGGCTGAAAGCAGCGCAGGGGGTGGGACGGTCCCCTCTTCTGCGGGCACACTGGAGCAGGGGCCAAGCCCGGGCGACAGGTAAGAAGGCCGGCTTCTGCTGGCAGTGGGTGCTCAGTGCCCCAGCCTTCTTGCAGGCGCTGGCCTGCAGGCATGGCCTCCATGCCCACAGAATCGCTCAGCAGGGAGTGAACCAGATCTGCCTTCACTCTTCTGGTTGGCAAAGGATGGGAGAAAAGACTGCAAATTGCTTGCTTCCTTTCCTGTTTTCCAAAAGAAGCAACGTTTGTTTGCATTCTTTACCATACTGCTTTGGTGCTGGAAGCCAACAGGCAGCTAGCAGTACTACAAACCTCTTTTCCCTGTTTGATGTGCACTCAGTGTTCATTTACCATTTGCTTTTGTCATCTTCTACACTAAGTAGTTAACACTTGAATGTAGCAAGTTACTTAGAGTATTCCTGGTATTCATTCACTCACCCATCCACCCATCTACCCACCCATTCACCCACCCATCCACCCACCCATCCATCTGTCTGTCCGTCCATCCCATCCACCCACCCATCCATCCATCCGTCCATCCATCCATCCATCCATCCGCCCGTCCATCCATCCATCCGTCCATCCATCCAATCAGATTTACTCAATAACTGAGTGCCAGATGCAGTACACAATTGGTGGACTGAGACCTCCCCCACCCCTAGCTTTCAGTCTTACAGGCAAATTGATAGGTGAATACAAGGTAGAAAATATGATAGAGTTTCTTAAAAGGCTCTTTTGTTGCTTAACCTTTTGATTAGCTGTCTGGAGTGGGGTACAAATATATAGCAACTTTTAGAAAGAGTACTTTTGAACTTGAGATTTTCATCTACTCTGCATGAATTCACTTCTCCACCGGAGCCTACTTCAGGTGCTATGTCAGACAGTTCAGGACTAGAAACTGCTGGAACAGATGAGCCCCTCTACAGAGTATGGGCTACGATTTTTCTTGTCCTTTTCTCTACCATGGCCATATATAAAGCACTAGATAACCACATATAAAGTAAAGTAAATGCATAGAACAAGGATCCAGCTTCTCTGGATGGGGAGGGAGTGCCTGGTGGGATGTGAGGCTCCTGCTTAGGAGATAAAAATCCCATTCCAGCCTCACAGCTGAATTCGGACTGCTCTGTATATTCCTGAGTTCCTTTTGACTCACAGAATTTGCAGAAGTTCACGTTTTGGTTAAAAATCACGAAGGCTTCCACCTCCCAAGGCTTCCTAGGCACATTATAACTCCGTGTTGTCTTGTCGAAACTGATGCTCCACACATGTCTTTGTTTGGGCTTTTAATTTTTTTTTTGTTTGAGGGGAAAAAAAAAGTATTTGCAGACTCACACATTTTCATTTACCTGTAGCCTTCAGGTTGCTTAATCAGGCTAAATACATTAAGACAATAATTAGGATGCCTGACAGAAGGACAAACGGAGTGTCAGTCCTCAATTTGCTTTTGTTCTTTATGCCCTGTGGGTATTTTGTGTACTTTCACGAATGGTGTTCACACTTTAGTGACCCTGACAAGATGCAGCTGTAACGCTTAGTATACAAAGTTCTGAGCCAGGAATCGGCCCGAGTTCTGATCTCTGTCCACCCTGCTGCTAACCAGCTCCGGGCTGTGAGCCATCATTGAGTCTCAGGGTTACTCTTTCCTCGAGTCCAAATGATTGATAATAACCTAGCACTTTATAATTTACAATGTTAGTATCTTGCCACAGCTTTTGCTTTGTTTTGTACACTGCGTGTGTCAAATCTCGTTCTTTTGAAGTCCGAAAGCCCTTTCATGTTTTTTAATACTGCCCAATTGAAGTACAAGCAAACTAGAAATTTCTCTTTTTTTTTTTTTTAAAGATTTTATTTATTTATTTGACAGAGAGACACAGCGAGAGAGGGAACACAAGCAGGGGGAGAGGGAGAGGGAGAAGCAGGCTTCCCGCGGAGCAGGGAGCCCGATGCAGGGCTCGATCCCAGGACCCTGGGATCATGACCTGAGCTGAAGACAGACGCTTAACAACTGAGCCACCCAGGCACCCCTCAAACTAGAAATTTCTTGTTGGTAGCTGTGAAATAGTGTCTCTCGTGATATTCGAGTGACAGAGTAGCTGGAAGACAATTGAGGCAGTGAATCTCCTAAAATATCCCTGTGTGGCCACAAATAAATAGTGGGTTTGCAGACCCAGTGTGAACTGTTGAAAATTCCCGATCACCTCCTTGCCTGCTGAGGTGAAAACTCTGGGTGGAATCTGGTATTTTGGTAGCGTGCTGACTAGCTTTCTCGCGGGGAATGCCTGACATCGAACTTGACTTCTGCTCTCCGTAGTCCGCCAAAACCCAAGGACTCCGCACCTGCCCCTGCCCCAGGGAGAAATGGCAGTCAGATGGCCAGTGGCCAGAACCAGGCGCAGATGGCGGCTGGCTCCCATCAGCTCTCCGTTGGCCCGGGGCACAATTCCGCTGGCCCTAGCCCGCACACTCTGCGCCGAGGTAAGTAGCCACCTTTACTCCTTCCCCTTAGGGAGGGATGTGCAGACTTCCTTGGGTTAGCACAGGGATTCACGTTGCAAGACTTTCCGACAGAGCATCTCCATGTCTGTTTTAAAATGGCAAGCAGAGGGGAACCTGCTGGCTTCGTTGAAGGAGCACGCGACGCTTGATCTTAGAGTCTCAAGTTCAAGCCCCACATTGGGTGTAGAGATTACTTTAAAAAAAAAAACAAAACTTCAAAAAAAATGGCAAGCAGAAAAATCAGTCGTTTAAGAGCAAAATCATTAAAAGGAAATGAAATAATAGAGAGCAGAAAAGCAGGCATTTAAGAATATGTTTAAGCCACAAAGCCTAATAAACAAAAAGTTTTTTCTTGGAAACAACGCTCCCAGTTTTCCAGAAATCTGGCATTCCAAGCCATCCCTCTGCTTGGAAGCCACTGTAGCCTCTGTCGTAACCAGGCTCTACAGGTCTGCAAGCCGCTGTAACCTCTAGATTGAGGTCTGGGCTTTCTGGGTCCTGAGTGCTGTATGATCTGAATGGTTCCCACCCATATCCCTACTGTCCTCCAACCAGCAGTTAGGGGGGTTGCTCTAAAACACAGCAGATCGTGTCTTCTCTCCGTTGAAACTGTCCCTCCGATGGCTTCTGTGCAGACCTCCCCTGTGGGGCCGGTGTGGTCCAGCCTGCCTTTGGGCCCCACACTTAACCACGCCCCCTCTCTCGCCAAGCTTCAGCGGTGCTGGTCTGCTCTCTGCTCCTGGGATGCACTAAGCTCATTCCCTCTTTTTTTCTTTTTTTAAAGATTTTATTTATTTATTTGTCAGAGAGAGCACAAGCAGGGGGAGCAACAGGCAAAGGGAGAAGGAGAAACAGGCTCCCCACTGAGCAGGGAGCCCAACGTGGGGCTTGATCCCAGGACCTGGAGATCATGACCTGAGCTGAAGGCAGACGCTTAACAAACTGAGCCACCCAGGTGTCCCTCATTCCTTCTTTAGAACTTCTGTGTTCCATTTTTTCTCTTCTGGAACATTCTGACTCACAACATCTTCTTGTGGTTCTTTTTTTTTTTTTTTTTTTAATTTTACTGGGGTCAGAAGACCTACAATGAGATCTACCTTCTTAAATCTCTAAGAGTACTACACGCACAGTGTGGTGCAGCAGACTCTAGAACTTACTCATCCTGCATAATTGAAACTTGATGTCTGTTGCTTTGCAGCTGTCCATTAGCCCCTCCCCAGTACTCTCTCTCTAGCCCTGGCAACCACCATTCCACTCTGTGGGTTTGACTGCTTTAGATACTTGATATAAGTGCAATCACGCAGTATTTGTCTTATTGTGACTGCCTTATGTCACTTAGCGTAATGTCCTCTAGCTTCATCCACGATGTTGTATATGGCAGGATATCCTTCTTTTTTAAGGCTAAATAATACTCCGTTGCCCATAGATCCCACATTTTTTTTTAAAGATTTTATTTATTTTTTTGACAGAGAGAGACACAGCAAGAGAGGGAACACAAGCAGGGGGAGTGGGAGAGGGAGAAGCAGGCTTCCCGAGGAGCAGGGAGCCTGATGTGGGGCTCAATCCCAGGACCCTGGGATCATGACCTGAGCCGAAGGCAAACGCTTAACGACTGAGCCACCCAGGTGACCCCATTTTTTTTTTAATCCAATTATCCGTCGATGGACGTTTAGGCTGTTTCTACATCTTGGCTATTGTGAATAATGCTGCAGGGACCACAGGAATGCAAATATCTTTTTGAGATCCTGATTTCAGTTCTTTTGGCTAAATACCCAGAAGTGGGTTTGCTGGATCATATGGTAGTTCTATTTTTAGTTTTTTGAGGAACCTCTATACTGTTTTCCATAATGACTGCACCAATTTACATTCCCACCAACAGTGCACAAGGGTTGCATTTTCTCTACATCTTCGCCAACACTTGTTGTCTTTGGGGGTTTTGTTAATAGTAGCCATTCTGACGGGGTGAGGTGATGTCTCACTGTGGTTTTGATTTGCATTTCCCTGACGATGAGTGATGTTGAGCATCTTTTCCTGTGCCTATTGGCCATCTGGATGACTTCTTTGGAGAAAAGTCTATTCAAGTGTATAGCCCATTTTAAAATCAGGTTATTAGTTGTTTTGCTATTGAGTTGTAGGTGTTCCTTACATATTTTGGAAATTAACCCCTTATCAGATAGATGGTTTGCAACTGTTTTCTCCAATTCTGTGGGTTACCTCTTCATCTGTCAATCGTTCCCTTTGCTGTGCAGAAGCTTTGTAGTTTGATGTGGACCCATACATCCATTCTTCTGTTGCTTGTGCTTTCGATGCCATATCCAGGAAACCATTGACAATTCCGATGTCATGAAGCCTTCCCCTCTGTATTTTCTTCAAGGAGTTTGACATTTTCAGGTCTTATGTTTAAGTCTTTTTTTTTTTTTTT